TTTGTCTTCTATTGATTAATGTATAAGTATATGTATTTGTACATGGCTTGTACATTGTTTTGGAAAATGCTGTTGGGGACTAAAGAGCTAGGGTTCTTTGAACGTGGCACTATGATGTTCCCAAGATAATTGCTATATCCATGTTGATAACATAGGAATTAATAGTGCTCGCTGTACAATTTATGTACACAAATCTTATTTATATTTCGAATTTTATATCACAAATCTTAGTTATAAGATTCACATAATATATTTAACGGTCATGGTTAATATGGCAGGTATGCGGGCAGATTTTGAAAAATGCTTGGACCCAAAAGCAAGATTCAAGTTAGAACCTCAATAAAGAGGGTTGGTTTTGAACAATAATTTAAAAGGAAAACTAACGAAAAGTTAAAAAACAATTTAGTTTTAATGAAAAATAACAAATAAAGGTGTAGTGAATAGTATTAGAGAAAGGTAAAAATGTGGTTTTTCGTTAAAAGTAAATAGTACCGAGGGTATTTCATTAAAACTCCCTAATTTAAAACCGTAACAGTACATCGTTTGATGACTTTGCACTTCTACTGGTTTTATTTCACATTGATTTTTAAAATTTTATCTTAGCGCCGGAAAGTTTATAGTTCTAACAGTATAATTTATTCTCGATGACGCTCACACTCACTTTATTTGAAGAGTTCGACTCTCATTCTTTCATTAAAAACCAAAAAGAGAAAGAGAAAAACAAGGTTAGCATAATTGTAATATTGTAGGGTTTACTGTAACATGTTGATAATACTTATATAAAACTCAGTTGCTAATGATCGATACAATTTCCCAAAGAAAGGTAATATTTATCAGATTTTTTTTTTTTTTCCATTTCATGAACATTATTCTAACATTCAAAAAAACTTGATCAAATAAAGAAATCATATCATTGAGGGGGGACATGGACACTGAGGAATGCTCAGTATGATAATGGATAATCAATGCATGAACCAGACGTGCCTCTCATATCTTGTCCATTTTTTAAATACGAAATCTGCTGGAAAATTACTGAATGCTTCAAATTTTATATATACAGATTTCTTGAGGAAGTAATATTGCCACGAACGTCGTACTACCACTCCATGCTTAAAGGTCCCTCTCCTTTCTAATTTCTTATCATTTTCTTCAATTCTTTTTTCCTTCCTCTATAACTTTTCCAATTAATCTAGCATTTTAAAGCCAATTATTATAGAAGGAGATCTGAGCATTATATAACCCTTTTGTTAGAACACAATTTAAGATTCTTGACCTATGAGATTAAAAAAGATTATATTTATAATATAATAGAGAGATTAACAATGGATCCACACGTATCTTTACTTTTAAGATGAACAAATGAGCTAGAGATAATAGTACAGAAAAACTAATTGATTTAAGTTAATTTTTATCCACTAGTACTATTTTTTGATAGAGCGGTATTCTAATCTACCATGAACAGCTGAAAGTGAGATTTGAACATGAATGCAAAAAATGTAGCACATTGTTAAGTGTTAACTTTAGCCAACTTGATTACGTCCAAATATGCTCATTATTACTCAATTTAATGGACACAATGTCTGTATAGTGAATAACAATCTACCATGCAGGCAGGCATACACCATGGTAGATGAACTTGCCTTCAAGTGATGGTTAGATGATGCATTCAAAATTTTGAGAAGTTTCACTTATTTTCTATGAGAGAACCCCTCGACTACACAGGCGGTACTTCAAAAAAAAAAAAAGAATCATTGGGATTCATCCAGTGGTTCAAATTAAAAAGAACAAAAACCTAGAGATAATAATATATATGCATATAATATTTCAATCTCTTCCAACAGTGGGTCAGAAAAACCAAGAAGAAAATTAGCAAATTTAATAATCCAATGTGGACCAAATTGCTAATATTAATATTGTGGTGGTAGGGACATAACCTACTCTTATTAGCTCTACCTCTATCATTTTCCCGAAAAAAAGCTCTACCTCTATCATCTCTTCCCCAAATCCCCACCATTAATGAAACCAGAGTAGCAGCATATTTGTTAGGTCAGGGCTAGATGCAGTCCCTCCCTATCCACTGGGTATTTCATTTTTTTAACCTAAACATCGTAAAAGATTGGTCAAAGATTATAAAAATTTAAAACCCTAAAAATGTTAGCAAACGGTGCCTTTTTAGCTTGTTGAGACGCTCTTTTCCGACATGCATGTGGGAGTTGTTAGCAAAATTAACCTAGAAAGATATTTGAATCTGGGGGGTATTAATATTATTACCCTTGTGAACTAAGATAACGAAAGTAAATAAAAGACACGTACTATATTACCCTGGAAAGATATTTGAATCTGGGGAGGGGATCATTCAGCTTTTGTTATTTTACTTTTTCATCTGCCATTTTGGTAAATATTAAATGATAGGTGATTATAATTTTTTTTTACTATACAGTCCAAAGAAACCGGACTCTTACAATTTATAAATTTGTATTATTCTTCATTTGTAAGTGAGATGTTTTAGATTCGATCTCGTTAAATACGAAGTTGAATTACATTATTGTTGGTTCATTATGAGGCTTAGCTAAGTCCCCCGCTCCCATAGTGCGGATATATCATTTGTTAACAAAAAAATAACAATAAAATAAAATAAAAGGATAGAGAGAAAGTTCTTCTGGTTTTTTATTTGGTTCATTCTATATTGGGATGCAACAGAGATTGTGGATCCAGCAAGCACGAAAAGTTGAAAGAACTTAGCGCCGAGACAAGAACCCTCCTCCCCCACTCACCACCCCCACATGATGTCCTAATTTTGTATAAATAATACTGTAATCCTCCTAAATATTATCCTACTAGATGAGGACTGCACATGGCTGCTTAGCACTAGATTAATAATTAAAATGTATGTTGGATAATCAACTAATATTAACTCATTTATTGATTTTGAGCACTCTCTTTCGTAGTGTAGATAATATCACATGTATTCGAACACTTATAACTCTACGGAATGATTTTTGAACTCTTTTATTTTATTCTAGTCATTTGATTGAATACATAAGGAAAATTAACAAACATAATTAAGGACAACAGTGCTAAAGATGAAGAGGGGAGTACGGAAACGCTCTCCCTAACTTTATACAAGTAGTATTGTTTGGTTCTTGGTATGCAACAAGTGATTTCTAGTCGTTGTAATTAACATAAATAAAATTTAAATACACATGTAAAACTTTGATGTACAGGCAAGAGAAACTGACTTTTCTAAAGTAATGAACAAAGTAGTTTCATTTTAACGGTAAAGATATGCTCAATTAGAAAATACATAAAGTGTTCTGAATAAAATTAGGAGGCTTCTTTTCTGTGGGTGGGTACAGTTTGGTTCAATGCGATTATGGAATAAGAACTGAAATGGAGCAAAACCATTCGGTTTTGGTTTGATAGTTCAACGTTAAAATAAATTATGACATTAGTACAACTTGAAAAAAAAAATGGTTATGCAATTCAACAAAACAATTTTGCTGTTTCAAGTCACTACTTTAAATTGTTCAATCCATTGACGGTCTTTTTCCTTTTGGACACTTACTCTCCAAAGGTTTAGGAGGTCCTTGAGCTTGAGAATGCAAGACTTAGACCTCGGATCTTGTGAGAGTGAAAGTGATGGATGAGAAGTCACTGAACCTTGTGAATTAAAAGCTTGAATTGCCTTGGAACTTGTTGTGGTTGTGGATTAAGAGCAAGAAAGACGATGCTTGAATTCAAATCATAACCAAAATAAATTACGTACATTAGTTGTTATAGACTTTAAAAAGCCTGCAAGAGTAACCAATTACACCCCAACTCCAAATTGGGTATTAAATTAATTTTTTTTTATATATATTCTGCAGTGCGGTTTGATTTCAGTTCGGTTCTAGATGCTAAGAACTGAGACCAAACTAGTTATTCAGTTTGTGATTCGACTTTAAACTGAAGTCGTTTCAAAATCACAAAAATCAAACTCTTCGGTACAGTTCAATTTAATTTCGATTTTGAATTCTGGTTTCAAGTGCCCACTCCTACTCTCACCACACCAAAAAAGAAGCGTAGAAAAAAAAAAGACAAAAACACAAAAGCTAATCGGTGAACAAACCATCGCTAGATCGGGGGAGGATTTTTTTCATTTGAAAGAGCTTTAAGATGAGAGACTTTCATATGGGTGTGTCAAGTAATAGTCACATTCGAGCACATGTGGGTGGGAGCGTTGTGGTGGCACAGTGGCATTATGCATAGTGGAATACGCCCCATCTTCTCACGTTACTACTCATCTTTTACATTTTCTGGTAAATGGGCGTGGCAATGAAATGGTCGGAAGGTCCATGTACGGAAAAGGTTGAGCAAGGACAGACTCATCTACAAATTGAAAAGACCATGGAATATATGCATATGAGAAAGTTCCTTACCAAATCGTCATGCGCAATCAGATTGTCAATCTAGACTGTTGAACAAGTAGAGTGTTTTGTTAATTAGTTATTTCCGATATTAAATTGTCAATCTGAACCGTTAAAAGCTACAACATAATATGTCAGATGATTCAACATAATAATTGGTATTTTGAACTAAGTTTCAAAAAAGTTGGGTTAGAAGTGAAAGCTACTTATTTTTTCTTTTATTAACGAATAAAAAGTTTCACGAGATCAGAAACTAATTAGTATCTACCAATTTATGTTCAATCGATAAAAATTTGGGTGACGAATCCTTTCTCGAGCCCCGAAAAACGTTGTGAAGATGCAGAGCAGTGAGCTAGGACTAGTACGTATTCCCCGTTCGTCTTATGTAACTGAAATTGAAGATAGGATTTTGTGGTACCAATTGGTCTACTTTTAAAAGGCCCTGACATTAACGATAAGTTGATGAGCATGAGGAGGTTGACAGACTGGGATCAAACATTTGGTCTCATGATTGCGACAACGCAATAATGTAACGTGATGCAGAAGAATAACCCTACAATAATGTAACGTAAAGGGGAAAAGTGCAAAAACTCGTCAGAAATTTCTTCTTCCATTTCATATACATGATGTATGTACAAGTTACAGTGTGATGATCCAAGCCTCGAAAACATGCTCTCACTCACACACACTCTCTCTCTCTCTCTCTCTCTCAACCTCCGATCAGCTTTTGCTCGCCGGGTTGACATTGTCGAAAGCACTTAAAATTAGTGAAAATTTACACTACCAAAAGAAAAGATGGTGTCTTTTAGACACTCGTATCACAAAATTTTCCGTCCATTCTGTTTTGAACGGCTTTGACAGCAGCAACTCTGGCAGCAGTGGCGGCTCTGTTCGCGGCCATGACTGCCTTGTTCACTTGTTCGTCCACTCGCCGAAGGTTAACAGCATTCTTCGCTGCTTTCCCAGCAGCCTGCAATTTCAATACCAACAAAAGAATGAGCGACGAATAAATTGAGTATATGCTAACCATGGAAGTGTAATATGTTTGCGTACTAGTTTGAATGAGACTATAAAATACCTGAACTGCTCGAACAACTGCATCGGTTAGCGGCAGAAGAGGGTGCTTAAGGGTGCCACCATCCCATATACCACATCTTGCATCGCCATTTCGAAAAGTGTAAACGCCATATCCTAGCTTCCGGCCTTCGTGCCATGACCCCTCATAACAATGTCCATTCGCAAAGTCGTAGATGCCGAATCCATGCATTTTGTCTCCAAAATATTCACCGGCATATCTATCTCCATTTCTGCAAACAGAACCGAATTCGTTAATTGAATTGCATCGCAGCAAGAAAATTCAACTAGCTCAAGTGAGTTACAAGAAGAATTTACTCATAAATGCACAATTGAGGAAACAAATCTCAAAAAGGTGGTCTACAAAATCAAATTCTTGACCATAAAATGTAAAAGAACAAAACAGAGATTTGGTCAGATGTATTAACACTAAGATACCCACAGACAACCAACCACACAACAACTACCAGATTTCACTGTTTCATTCACCATGAACAGTTCAACTATGGTAAAACCTAACATCTATCAAATTCAAATTTAAACCAACAAACAAAATCTAATTCGAAAGTTGAACAAAAAGATTGAATCTTTACTGCACTAGCAGTAAAAAGGAAAACAACCCAATTTGGTAACCCAAAACCCAACTACTATTAAAAGAGTTGAAATAAAAAACAATGGCGAAGACCCGAAAATTTTCAAAACCAAGAACCGAATAACTGACCTGAAATGGTAGCAACCGAGGCCGTGCTTGGCGCCATACTTGAATTCACCAACATAGCGGCTGCCATCAGAGCAAGTCTGCACTCCGACGCCGTGGCTCTGCCCATTGCACCACTCCCCTGCATACGAATCTCCCGCCGAGAATCTGTAAACCCCATAACCATGCCTCAGTCCCTGCCTGTATTGCCCCTTGTATCTGCTCCCTCTCGCCCAGCCCTCAATTCCGTAGCCGTCGTATCGGCCGTCGATCCAATCCCCCTCGTATCTGCCGTTGACCATGTAATTGTAGACCCCACTGCCATTGCACTCCCCCTTGTGAAATTCCCCCTCGTAGAAATCCCCATTGCTATAGAATTCGACCCCTTCCCTTATGATCTTCTTCTCCTTCCGGGTCTTGTTTGGGTTCGGGTCCGACCCGATGAACCACTGGACCGGCTTCGCGCCTCCGTTGGTCTTGTAGAACCGGTGGAAGCAGCACCGCTTTGCATTCTCGTCCCAGGAATGCTTGAGGACGGAGACGCTGCGGTTGATCAGACCCTTGTTCTTGTTCGCCAAGAAAAGCGTGAAGGCGACGAAGACCAGCGCCAGGAGGAGGTTTTCGGAGATGGGTACTTCTTCGCGGCGGAGGTAGAAGAAGAAGAAGAAGCCGGAGAAGCTGAAGAGGGTGAAGAGTGTGACGGCGGCCATCGCCAGGTGCTGGTGGTTGATCCGGGTCGACCCGGATTTCTGGTGGGTCGGTACGGGATTGTAATTCTTGGGTTTCTGCTCTTCTTCGTCGTAGTGGTGGTTTTCGTTGGCGGCAAAGACGTCCTCCTCCGTGACGGAGTTGAGGCTGTGAATGGAGGATCGAATCGTCGGCGACGACCGCAGCAGCGACGACTGGGTCCTCGTGAGCTTCGCGTGGCTTTTCTGACCTTCCATTTAGAAAACCAACTGATTGATTGATTCAATCCCAACCGTCCGGCGATCGAATCTTTTCACTTGTTTTTCTGGATACTAAACCGACTTCCTGTACCGCGAGATTCTTATAACCAACGTCGCTGGTATTATCGAGCACACCGGCGACATCTCAAGCGCAAAACACCCACGGCGCACGTTAACTTACCGCCGGACCCACCGCCGGCGCAATTTAGCACCAACTGAAAAACAAGCAACTCTCCTGAAGATTCAAAACCGAGGAGAGAGAGAGAGAGAGTGAGAGGGAGAGAGTTAGAGGGGGGGGAGAGAGAGAGAGAGAGTGTGTGTGTGTGAGTCTGGAGTTTTTGTCAGGAGAACTGGACCGGCTTCGAGCCTTTTGATTTTATTGATGCAGCGTTGGGGAGAGAGAGGGAGTGAGTTTTAATCGACACCGTCAGATTCTCATCAGACGGTGGATCTTGATGATGAGTTCTGAACCGTTGGATGGGATTGGGATAGCCCCGGTCTTGACGGGAAAGATGTGGTCGTCGGATCTTAGATTCGGCTTGGGCTCCTTTTCACTTTATTGTGCAGGCCGGCACGTGCCACCTCCACGTTACCGTCCTTCCGAGCAATGTTCACCTGTTACGCAGTTCCACGATGTTAAACTAGGCCGAAGAGATTTTTTTTCTTTTAAATTATATTAGTTAATATGTAGCAAAATGCTCCCGTGGGAAAAATAGCAAAATATTTTATATTTTATATTCTGGTGGGTATTATAGCAAGTGGGGACCACCCTCCTATATTTTTTGGTAAAATTTGCTAAACAGTATCTAATTATTTACCATCTTTCATGCATAATGCAAAAAATATCACCAATAATACAATGTGTAACCGGCTAAAGAACGAGAAGAAAGGCAACTTACCTGACATGGGTGATCGGGGAGTATTTGTACGTGTTCAACGATCATTTCAAGGCGTATCCAATGAAGACATTGTGCGTGAAACGCCTTTTGTTCTTAAAAAATATACGAAACTTTTCTTTTGACGCGCTAATTACTATCTTATTATTCTTTATATAGAGAAGTAAAGATGTGATAATTAAGACCTACAATCTGTAAAACATCTAAGACATCACATATCAAAGTTAGTTAGGGATATTCACAGAGATGCTTATATTTCGAAACCGTGGCCAAGCCGAGGGCCCATGGTCGAAGGTCGAGTAGGTGAGTGCCGCGTATAAGCCAGCAAATTGCCATGAGAATATTAACCAAATCAATGAGGAAATAATAAAACAAGAAAAAGGTCCAAATTAGCCAATGGGAAAGAGGGAAAAAATGATGCCCACGAAAATCGTCATGTTTATAATGACATGTGTTGCATTTTTGCATAAGTATACATGAAACTTAATGAATAGTGAGTTTCGGTTATATGCGTAACCGACGTAACGAACTTGACAGATAGAAGAATGACTTGTCAAATATTGCATGAGCCGGACAACAAATAAAAAATGACGCTGAGAATTTGACCTAAATCTCTGCCTTCAAAATAATTTCCCATATCTTGTCATATTTTCAAGCACATTTTCAAATTTTATAGCCGCATGCACGGCTGAACGTTTTTCTTGTTCCTTTTTTCTACCAAGTGACGAAGTGAAATAGAAAATTAGGTTTTCCATTTGTTCAAAATTTGTAGGCTACCTGCACCACAAACAACACACGAAAGGTAATAACATCGAGAAATCTCATCTAATCAATAAATGGCGTCATGCTAATTGCATGTACGGTTACGATGTAATCTCACATGAATTATATAATTATGTGTGACCGTATTGTCAAATTACTTTTTGTAAGGTGTAGTGGAAGAACAAGTGGATACTTAATGAGCCATATGTACATATTACTTGCTATATTTAAAGCCAATTAATTAATTTAATAAATACTTTGTAACTTAAAAACGATAATGTTTTCGCTCTATCTGCACTAATTGCATACACAAACCATGATTTGGTTTGGGATCTTTTCACACTATATACGTTTGTTCATACGTTTCACTGGTGCTAGTAGGGACCTTTCTAGTCAAATCTCTTCCTTTAAGGGATACTACTATAATGAATAAAATTTCAGTGTGCTCGAAATATATAAATTGAATGATAAGCCACATTTTATTATATAAGTGAAGATAAATTTTATTTTTGAAATATTTCTTTATTTATATATTGATGCATGATATCATCTCTTTTTTGCAGCATACTAAAAAACATCTCCACTATAAGACCCACTTTATTATTGTTTTTTAATTCCAACATTCCATTTTTTACGGTTTCATGTATGAATCATATTATCTGACAAAAAAAAATCTAGAATTTTCTTTTCTTTTCCATTGGTCATGTCATGTATGGGTTATGTATGTGTCCAAAACGTCCCTAAACGTCACGACAATTGGTAATCATAATTTATTTATTTGATTAAGGATTCGTTTTAGAAAAGCACATGAGATATGTATCTTTATAAGAGCTTATTTGAATGTACTTTTAAAATAATTAAAAGTGTTTTTGGTAAAAATATATTTAGAATCAATTTTTAGTAAATATGCAAGTAAATTCTGAAAAATCACTTAAAGTGTTTCCTAGAAGAAGCACATAACCGATGCTTCTTGCAGAAAACACTTATAGTGCTTTTGGAACCCAATATTTTTTTCTTCAAAAAGCGTTTTCAGTCATTTTAAAAGCACATCCAAACGAGCTCTAAATCATTTGGAAAATCACTTTAGGTGATTTTGTAGAGAAGCACTTCTCATGTCATGAACCAAGATTGATCTTCGAAAAAGGCCTCAAAAAGAAAGAATTCGGATGATTGAAGTTTAAGGTTGCAATAAGTTAGGTTCTAACACTCTCTATTAGCCTGATTATGATAAATTAAAATGAAAACTAACGAAAATGAGTTGAAAATTTTGAGTTTTAACGATAAGGACAAAATAAAGGATAAAGTGAATAGTATTAGGATTGATTTTTTAGTGTAAACATATGGTTTTTCATTAAAGTTTCCAAAATTAAATTGTTAAAAAAAGTAGATTAGTAATTTTGATCACTGATTAATTAATGAGCTTGGGCTGGCCTTGATTCTTCTATCACCAGTCTCAAAGTAGAAGATGGCGGTGGTCACCTGTGCTCCAACAAAATAAAAAAGGGATTCACCTCTGCGTCCCATTTGACACACATTTAGCAATTATACACCATGACTCCATCTTCTGAACACATACCTGAAGCTGATTACTTGGCTGGCTTTACTTTTGTATAGACGATGGTCCAAGCTACCATCACAAATCTTGCATTCCAAAACCTAATTATATATGTGCGTGTGTATATATATAGCTGCATAATTAGGGGTTAGGTTCCGCTATAACCAGTACTGCAGCAACTGCATGTGCATCATATAGATTTCCTGAAACCCTCAACTCTCAGACATTATACACAGCAGCAACAAAACTCACAGGCTTCAGAGAGTCGGAAGAAATCCAGAACTATCCTGTGCAGTTGGTCAATTGATCAGCTGCATGTAGTTCGGGAGCTAGACTTTGGTTCACCCGGCACTGTTTGTCAAGATACTACTGTACTATTATGTACCCTAGATATATATTTTGACCGAATAAATAGACTTTTCTTCTTCTTCTTCTTCTTCTTCTGTCTGGTATACGGGAATATGGGGTAACGGCCACGGTGTTACAATCACACTCGAAATCTTTTCCCAAGTACGAAGAAGACTACATGCAATGCATATGAGCGAACATTATCACTTGCTCATATATAATATACAGTTAAAAGATTGTTTGATAAACAATTGTAACTATTGATCATAACTAAATCAGAAGTTGTGTTTATGGTTGTGAAGAAAGTTGATGTTGTACTATAAAACTAATTATTAAGACCAACTTTAATGGTGGGCTAAAAGCTAAATTACCCCTCAAAATTTCCCCCCAAACCCACTCCAATCTAAGGGAAAATTTTTGGTTAAATGCTGAATGCTGAATGCTAAACCAAGGCCCAATTCCCCCCAAAATTTAGCCCAGAAATGTGACAGCCCGTCCCAGAAATATTACAACGTACGTGTGAAAAGACAAAATTGCCCCTAGTTCGATTTCTTTACGTTTATTGGTTGTTTTTGAGTTTGGTTGGCATGTTGTAGGCCACACACACTTTCCCACACACCACAACCTTTCCTCCTGTTTCCTGCGCACTGTCCCGAGTCCCCATTCCCTTCCCATTTCCTTTGAAACGTACGGACACACCCACAAACCCATCGAATCTTCACATATTGTGGAATCCAAGCACATATTCAGACTCGTGAGGCTTGTAGGAGTCCAACTATACCTTTTTCAAGTAAGAACACCTTCGTTTTCATGTCGAATCCACGATGCCCGATTTCGGGTACTGTTCATGCACATGTGATTTCTCACGTTTTAGGAAATTTCAAGCTTGTAGGAAGCTTGGTGAGGTCCCTAGGAGGCTCGGGGTGGTTTGTTTGAAGGTTTTGGACGTCGGGATCGCGAGTTTCGAGGTTGGCCGGAGTTAGGGTGATTTTCCAGGTGAGATTTCGTGGTTTTTAGCACTTGAAAGTGGTATGATTGTGTTCCTCTCGTTGTAAGCTTCATTTTGGTACCAATTTTATGAAATTTGGTTGAAAAACGAAGAAGATATCGAAGTTTGAAATTTTCCGGATTTTCTGGCGCCGGCGACGGCGCCGGAGAAGATGACGGAATATTCCTGACGCCGTTGACGGAAACCGTTAGGGATAACAGAATATTCCCTTACGGCGTCAGTTGGTGCCGTCAGCGTGCCAGGCACGTGCCTGCGCATGGCCGTGCCTTGGCCTGCGCGTGGGGGTGCGTGCGACAGTGAAAAATTATTTTAAAAATATGGGGATGTTCCTGAGGTTGAGTAGATCATGTTGGTGTATTCATACACCCCATTTGAGCAATGTATGAGAAGTTATTTCTAAAGGTTGGTTATGTGCTTTTAAAATTAACATTTTTGTAGTTGTTTCGCATATAGGTGAGACGTATCCCGAGGACGAGCGTGGTCACTCGAGGCAGGAGGTTACGACCCTTCCACTTACCAGTGAGTGGGCTTTCGGTTTTCCGTATATACCTATATACTTATATTTTCCCAGAAATTGATTTGAATTGTCATTTGCCATATGCCATGCATTAGATTATCGTTATTTATGCATCGTTAGTTGCATTATTAGTTGTATATATATATATACATATGCATATTGGGTTCTGCGGATGCACAGGTAAGTGCCAGGTAAGTGTTATTCATGATTACATTCAGTAGCGATTCGAGATGCTTAGAGAGCTCATAACCTGCACCCCCGGTGTTAGTGCTCCCGCCCAGAGTAGGGCACAGTCCTTCACGTGATGTTCACCTCCCGCACCACACACTCAACTTGGATCCAAGTTAGGCGCACAGTCCTGTTGTACAGACCACATTAGGTGGTTCCGACTCGTAGGTGACTCGCGATTATTCGCACAGCCTTCACGTGATCGTAGCACTAGAGCGTTTATATGTATTACACCCAGGCCTGTCATACAGACCACTTTAGGTGGTTCCAACTCGTGGGCAGGTTTAGTTATTGAGATTGAGATTTGAGCTCTAGATTCAGCCGTACAGGTCACGTTAGGTGACTCCGGCTGCCAGACTATATGATATTGATATGATTTTCACCTGAGCACTTGCATTTCATTTTGAGGTTTTGGCATAGCATATTCTTGAGCATGATTGGTATATATACGTATATCTATTTTCTGGGAAGTATACAGGTTTTATGGCGAGGGGTTAGAACTTATTTGTTAATGGTTTTCGAAAAGCTTTGTTTTTGCCCACTCACGCTTTTGTTTTGCGCCCCTCCAGGTTCTAGTTGTCTAGCAGGTTTGGTGGTTTCCCAGAGGGCTTTCCCGGCATTTCTGATAGACGATCACTAGCGTAGGGCCACCTTCGGGTATACTGTTGTCGCATCATTTTCGTTTGGACTGCTTTAGGCGTTATGCTCTGAACGTGTGTCACACTTACGTTTGCACCTATTATCATTTCGTGTAAACCAGTTTTTATTTATTCGTATTACTATTTCCATTATTGTTTTATTAGCTTCCGCACTGTGCACATGGTTACGTCACCTTCGCGTGACGGCCAGCACGCCCTGATCTCGGTCGGGGTGTGTCAAGAAATCGGAGTGGACTCCACCTAATATTTATCAGAATTTAAATTTTTTAGATTAAAATGTTCATAAAATTAATTTACGATAGTCTACATATTTATTATTTAAAAAAAAATTAATTTAACAAAAAAAAATAGCCTAAGTTCATTCTTTAATAATCCCGGGCTAAAATTTTAGGTTAGAACGATTGGAGCAGAAAAACGGTTTCTGGGTTAAAAGCTAAATTTTCCAAGCTAAAATATTTGGCTTTATTTCTTATAAGTATATGCAAGATCTCTTATTTCTATAATACGAAATTAATACTCTCAATACGCCCCCTCATGTGTGGTGAATTTTTAAGTCTAACAAGTGGACAACACAAACAAAATGACCTGGTGGTACAACCTAATTTGATATCAAGATGTTGCCTGAGTTTTCAATTTTAATCCTATGATATTCAAAAGGACTACGAATATCTGAATAAACCAGATGCTACAAAAGCATCTTCTTTTTGGTAGAAAGAAGAAGAGTGAAATACTAAACAACAATGTGATAAGTTGTAACATGAAAAAAACAAGATATTTTTATGAGTGTTATAAGTATATGAATGACTTAATGTATTCTATAAACACATATCTTTTTTCCCTTCAACCCATATTGGGATCAAACCGGACGCGGTTCGGAATTTTGGGTTTATCTATTTGGTTTTTTGAGTTAATTGGAGGGGCCCATTAATCACTTAGGTATTAATTTCAAGAGTAAATTGTAGTAATAATCTCTCAACTTTATTAAATTGGAGCAATGATACTTCAACTAAAAATCCATTACCATTGGTCCCTCAACTCCTCAAAATGTTTAGTTATGGTCATTTTCGTCAACTTCGTCAAAATTTTGTCAAAATAAGTTATGTTGGAATGACCATTGCTACAATTAAGGTCCCTCAACTCATCAAAATATGTAGCTATGGTCTTTTTCGTCAACCTCATCAGAATTTTGTCGAAATGAATTATGTTGGAAGGACCATTGCTACAATTAGGTTAAGGGTGAGGGATCATTGCTCTAATTGAGTTAAAGTTGAGGGACCATTCTCTTGTTAGATTAAAGTTGAGAACCAATGGTAATGGATTTTTAGTTGATGAATCATTGCTCCAATTGAGTTAAAGTTAAAAGACTATTGCTACAATTTACTCTGATTTCAATGGTGGTGCTATTCACACCCATTTTTACTTCTTATGAACTCTTAGCTTTCGGCCGCCAGATCCGATGAACTGAAGAATTGAAGAAGAAGACCATTGCTACAATTTTCTCATTTGGTTTTTAATATTTGCTCCTTGATTCAACCTCACGTGTGTGGTAAGTGACTTATTACTGAATTTTAACGGAATTGACGGAAATGATCATAACTACACATTTTGATGAGTTAAATGATCAATAATCACAAATTTTTAATTAAAGAACCATTACTATAATTGAATTAAAATTAAGTACCATTGCTACTATTTCGTCCTTTTGAAATTAGACTTCAGATGGCTTGCTTTGACAATTTGAAACATGTTGTTATCTTTTCTTTGAATTATTAAATAAATGAACATGATTTTAATAGGCTCCGTGCCGTTCATTACTTGTCTTGCTGATTTTGTTTGTTTCAACAAAAACATAAAATTCCACACAGTTAATAAGCTAAATAATCTTATTTAACAGAGGTCTAAAAACTATGGCTTCAAACTGCAGGGCACAGGAATAAGATCCCTTCCGTTCAGATGCTTATTACAAGTTTGAGTTCCATTTATTCTAACCGACCATTCGAATTATCTTCTCAACTTCTCCTTCATCCTGTCAACGGCAGCTCTAAGAGTTCCTTCGTCTTTGCAGAAGGTAAATCTTACTAGATTCTTTCCATCTTCCGGGTTTAAGTAAAATACACTGGTGGGGATTGCCACCACTCCAACTTCCTTGATCAGATACTCACAAAAGGCAACATCATTTTCCAGTCCAAAAGGAGTGTGATCAACAACCACAAAGTAGGTACCGCTTGATGGATACACTTTGAAACCGACAGATTTCAATCCCTCGACCAAAATCGCCTTCTTTGCCTGGTAATCTCTTTTCAGCTCCACATAGTAGGAGTCTGGAGCTCTAAGAGCAGTTGCAGCTGCCCATTGCATTGGAGTGGAGGTAGCAAATGTGAGAAAAGAGTGTGCCTGCCGAACTCCCCATGACAGGTGTGGCGGAGCTATAGCCCAACCGATCTTCCACCCAGTCAAGGAGAATGTTTTTCCCAAGGAATTCATGGTTACTGTACGCTCGTACATTCCAGGAAGAGAGGCCGGTGAAATGTGATCCATTTCAAAAGCCAACTTATCATAAACTTCATCACTGAATACCAACACATCATTTTCAATGCAGAGTGATGCAATCACATCGAGTTCCCCTCGAGTGAACATTTTTCCAGTAGGGTTATGTGGAGAATTTAGAAGAATTGCACGAGTATTCTTCGAGATTGTGGACTTGAGCTCATCAATGGGAACAGCAAAATCCGGAGGACGTAATGTGATACCTTTTACTTGAGCACCAGCCATGGATAGAGTAGCTTCATATGAATCATAGAAAGGAGCAAAGAGGATAACCTCGTCACCAGGATTTATCAACCCCAGCATAGTTGCCGCAATTGCCTCTGTGCACCCAGAGGTGACAGTTATTTCTTTCTCAGGATCCACAACGAGTCCCGTATCCTTCTTGAATCGCTCAGCTATGGCATTGTTAAGGTCTGGAACCCCATATCCGCGAGCATATTGATTCTTCCCATCTTTAACAGCCTGAATTGCCGCTTCCTTTACAAACTCTGGACCATCAAAGTTGGGGAAGCCTTGCCCAAGGTTAATTGCTCCATGTTTAATTGCGAGATTACTCATTTGAGTGAAGATAGTTGTCTTGAACTTTTCCAAGCGCTTTGCCACCTGACAAAAAAAAATGCACATACATGAGGAAGACTTCAACTCTGCAACTGCAGAGCAATTCAGGGAAGCAGCATTTACAAATGCAGTTCAATCATAACCCAATACTTTATGCACAAGCCTCATCAAAATTCACATGGTATAAGTCATGACCACCGCCTATATTTCATCTCAATTGGATATCACCATCCCATGACATTGTCACCTCTGACCCCCAGTAAAAATAAATTAGCATTACACGTATGCCAAAAGCTTTTGGATGCAAGCACGCACTGACATAGAGATAGAAAAAGAACAAATGAATAAACTGTACAATGCAAGGCTTAAGTCTGTATACATGAAACTGAAGTACATAAAGCGGAAAAAGGAACGAAAAAAGAGATAAAAGGATAGTCATCTTGTATTAAAACATAACTGGAAAACCCAGCATTGACTTCCCTAAAACTCTAATTAGGGATCACTAGTAGTCATCTTGTAATTCTCAATCGTAACTTTTATGGTTTTGTTTTGCAGTTGGCAGAACAAGCAACTCCTTCACTTGATGTTAAAATATGAACCTTTGGACTTTGTGGCACTAAACTTGTGCATCTAATAACCCCATTATCCAATGATATACCTACATTTAATGGTACTACAAGTACATCATCTAATTACATTGTTAATTATAATTATGATCTTGCTTCAGCAGGATTAAGATGGATTGCAGTCAATTCTTACAATTTGCAGTACAGCGGAAAAAAGCTCAACGATCATTCTACAAGTTAAAAGTAAACTGTAATCAAAGATCCCAACTTTACCTGCATAATTAATCCTACTGCAGATCATAAGAAAATCAAAGACCCCAAAACCCAAATAACAAAAATGAAGGTTTTCACATGCGTAAGTTCCCAAATAACAAAAATCCCCAAACACCCAATTCGATTCAAGCCACATACTTTAACAATCCGCCATGAAATTGGAACAATGACAAGTTGGGTAATACCTGTAAAGACTGCTGGGCCGACGCCGATTGACTCGGAACGACATCGTTTTGGGTGGGAACGGTGGACATGGCGGCGGAGAAAGAAGGGCAAGGAGTCAGGATACGCTTCTGGTCCTGATAAAGTTAAAGTCTGCACAAAAATTCTTGGAAAAGTTGAGGAATGTGGAAGGGCTGAGGCGCATTTCATGGGATGGCCAGCGCATTTCATGGGATGGCCAGGTGCATTGAATCTGCATGACAAAATGCTTCAATGACAACGAAAGGCAAGTGAATCGCAGTCGGAGTTGGAGTTGGGATACGTCTAGCAGCCTGTACCTAGACTACTATTTTTTGTGAAGGAGAATTTTTTTTAGTGGGAATGGTTTCCAAGTGTGGCCCAAACCCAAAAAATATAAGTTAGTGGGCCATTGTGAATTTTATTGGGTAGGCATGGATCATTCTGCTAATTAATAACTAAATCGTAATTTTCAACGTGTGAACAACACTTTGTGCGCATGTGGATAGAATATTGTCTGTTGGACGAAAATTGAACGGCTGAAAACGATTTCATCATAATGAGCTTAGGATGAAACCCGGTCATTTCACTTAATTAAAATGATACCTGACATGAATTCAAAATATCTTAGGATTTAAGTAAGTCTTGTCCTCCACAAAAAACACTCCTTCTCCTGCATTTGCTCAAACCTCACTGTCGTGAAAACATCGTTCCCGTTTGAAAACTTGCTTCTCGTTTCAAACCCAGTTATAGTTGATCTGTGCTTGTGTTGTCCAGCCTCACATAAATTCCAGATAGCAGTGAAGAAATTAGGGGATTTTGGTTGGAGGCTGTGCAGTGGGTTCTAAAGAAAGGACGTGCTTTTTGCTTCATTCGAGTTGGGTTCAAATTGCTTTTGCGATAACCATTGTCATATTTGATTCCCCCAGTGAATTTTAAATTTAGTGAGTTTTGAAAATGGAATCCTATAATTTAATTTTGTTATTTTTATTAAGCAGTATAAATTAAGTTAGGTGTAAGGTTAATTATGCATGTTTGTTGATGTAATTAGGTGAAATTTGTTGATATAAGTGATTTTTTTTTTTAATGCGTTGTGAACTTATGAAGCTATGTTGACGGGTTGTGTAGAGGCTGGGTCATTATCTGTTGTTTTGGTAAAGTTGTAGTTTGAAGTAGAGACTGATTTTTTTAATTTGAATTATTGTTAATTTCATGGTGGTAGGGATTGATTTTTGTATATGAATTATTGATAATTTTATGGTGGTAGGGATTGATTTTTGTATTTGAATTATTGATAATTTATGGTGGGAATTGAAATTGCTTAAGTAATGATGCTTTGTTCACAGTAAATGTAAAGTTATGAAGCTTTGTGTAACATCCCATATTGCCCAGGGGAGTGGATCTTGTAAGCCTTATATGTATATTCCCATCTCTATCTAGCACGAGGCCTTTTGGGAACTCACTAGTTTCGGATTCCATTGGAACTCTTAAGTTAAGCGAGTTCGCGCAAGAGCAATCTTAGGATGGGTGACCTATTGGGAAGTTCTCATGTGAGCCCCGAGAAACAAAACCATGAGGGCATGGTCGGGGCCCAAAGCGGACAATATCGTGCTATGGTGGAGTCGAGTCTGGGATGTGGTGGGGGCCCGGGCTGGGATGTGACACTTTTGTGGCAGTAGGGATGGCAATTCAAATTGTTAAACTCGATAACTGTGGATAACCATCTGAATGGAGTGGATTTGGGTATGAAAATTCGGGTATATTATGGATATGGGGAAAAACCGTGAACTTTATTTGGTTATGGTTTTGGATATGGTTATATGGGTCCCTAATCCATATTTGTCCCCAAATTCGCACCGAATAATATATATATATATATATAGGGAACTGTTATTAACACTCTAAAATCTCATTCTACACTCCTCATGAGTGTAATTTTCTTTCTAATTATAGAAAGTTTGAAGTGCAAAATGAGATTTTTGAAGTGCGAATAATAATTCTATATATATATATATATATATATTTGAGTGAACCCATATTCATTATTCACCATTGTGGGAGCCAAAAATTACTCCTCCACTAAACAAGTCACTAGCATGCTAAACATGGGGAGTGGACTAGAGTAAGGGATACATCCATGAAATGTGGAACATGGAGAAATATAAGGAAAGTGGGACTTGGAGCCCAAGACTTGAATGTCTATAAAAGGGCAACAATACCATCAGCAGAGGAAGGAAAAAGGGAGAGGTATGACCTCGTTCTATATTTTCTAAGCACTCTGAACAAATACTAACTTGAGCGTTAGAGTGTTTTCTTGCAGGTACCCCCGCTTTCAATGATGGTAAGTGAAGATTATGTCATGGGCTTCTCAACATGGTTTCAAGATTATTTGTTTGTGGAGATTGGAGTACCCAAATTTTCTGCTCCAACAACTACATAATATATTTAGTATATAATACTATTACGAACCCTACACTATATTCATTATGCACCAAACATCATACTTATGGGAGATATCAACAACCAACATCATCAATGTTTTATTCAATATTCTTATTCTTATACTCAACAAAATTCATTCATTGTTATGTTTTTTTAATTATTGAACATGGCTATTTAATGACTGAAATTAGTATGTGCTAAATTATTGTGCTTCAATTTGATGAATATTATTCTTTTTTTTTTTTTTTTGACGAAGATGGATATAGCCATTAATCGATCTGAAATTCGTTACTTGATGGGTATGGTTATGGATAATCCCTGATGATAAATTGCAGCTATGAATATGGTTAATTTTCATGGTTATGGAGATAAATATAGCATTTTTGTCCCCAAACCAAACCATTGCCATCCCTAGGTGGCAGGTTGTTGTAAAGTTATGTGTTGTTGATTGTTGGTGTGTGTGTTTTGCTATATGTACAAGATATTGCAACCCAAGGTATTCAACTAACAACTAGAGAATAAGAAGCGTATAGGGGAAGGGTTAACAACCTATCCCAAGCACCCCATGTGTTAGGATTGATTAGGGAGAAGTTTAGTGAGGCACATGTTGGTGCCTTTGGGGGAACCTGCTTTGGCCACTTTCAGGGTGTGGATGAATTAGCCTTTAGTGAACAATTGGTCAATGAGTTGTCACTCCGTAGAGTGGCAAATCAAGGGGTTAAAGACCTAGAGGGGATGACCTATTTAATAGGTTGTGAATTGACCGGTTCCCAAAGTAGGACTTCTGCTTCATTATCGGGTTACGATGTAACGAACCCCATGACATAGAGGTTTAGCCACAAATGGTTAGGCTGTTGTGGGAGTATTTTCCCAAAAATTAGGGTTGGTAGGTGAAAGTAGCAAGGGGAGGAAAGAAAAGAGGAAAGGTAAAGCCAAGGCCATCCCCAAGAAAGTCAGGAAAAAAAATATATATGTGACTTGCGGGGAGCTTGAAATGGTGTTTAAGAATGCAAGGACAGGGATGATGCCTTCAAGTTAGGCCTCGTATATTTTGCTGAGGCTGTATTGATAGGGGTAAAGAACAATATTGCATGTGAATCTAGACTACCTCAACCTCGTGGAGGATATGGATAAGTTCGACTAGCTTTGCATGAGGTTTCATCTCCCTTGAAAAGCTTCATGAAAGCCTCTCGTTTGCTGCTTCAAAGATAGGTAGAGGTAGAGTTGAAGAGGAATGGTAAGGGAGATAAGAAGGAGGAAAAAGAAGAAGTTAGGGCAATAAAGAGGGCACAACGGTTTGGATGAAGTTGCAAAAATATTTTCTATACTTTTTAGGTAATATGTGTTGCTTTCATTGGTAATATTAGCTTTATTAATGTGATTGAATATTCTTTTATTGACAAATATGTGCAGGTGTGGGCAAACGAAAAAATTCCCCAACTTGAGACGCCCATACATTACTGCAAGATGGCAGATCCAACAGCTTGCCTAGAACTTTACAGTGGAAGACAACGAATAAGCAACTGATCCACGAGTAGCTACAATTATATATAACTGAGAGCCAAGAGGTATAACTGTATTGCAAAACTTTTGAATTTTATGAATAAAAGTGAATATGAGTGAATATTGTATGTGTGAGAAATATATTTATGTTGCGCGGCTTTAAATAGTAGGCTATGAGGATTAGAGAAATTATTTTGACTGAAGCAGAGAGGAACGAGTGTACTACACGTGGAGGGTATGATGTGGATGTTGTGATTCCTGAGAACCTGACTCTTGACACAAATGATGTCGGGGAATTGATAAGGGTAAATTACACAAAACTACCTTAACTATGAGTCGAACCACAATCTCATATCTCATGTTTTAAACATTGCAATGTCAAACCTTAACTTATGAATTCGTTGCAATGTCAGATCTCTATTAAATTTTCTGTCAATTTTGCTGTTAAGTGATGACGTGGCATGAAAGGGACCGACCCCCTCACCAACTGGAATAAAAAATTAATTATTATTTAACAATTAAAAATAATTAAAAAAAAAAAACCATCTTTTCCTTTTTCTTTCCCCAGAAATTGTGCTTTCTCCCCAGATTTCACCCATTCGTCTTCCCCTTCTTGCTCCTCCTCTTTAAGCACAACCAAATTTTGTCCTCCCCTAGAAATGACTTACACGTTGATCAAAACACGGGTTTCGGGTCTTTCCTGGCTCGCTTTGACTGACCCGAAGAAAACAACGATGTAGAGGAAGGAGAGGAAGAGGAAGCAAGGAGAGCTCAAGGATGATGTTTACAAATGTCGTTTGACTTTGCATAAGCCATTGTCTTCGTCGTCGCTGGAGGAGTTGGTGGTGTTAGTGCCTATGAGTATGATTCGGATAAGCTTTGACGGAACTCGGGTCGGGTTATCGAGTTCGTAGATCATGGGTTTTGTCACAATGGTGATTTGCTCTGAAAAGTTGACAATTGAGGGGCAAACGAGGTGGGTTGGAAGGCTGTCATGGATTTCGAGAAGGAGGAAATAAAATTAGAGATGTGGGTTTGGTTGGAGGTAGCATCAAGAATCGAGGGTGAGGAACGGAGGAGGGAACGAAGGAGGGAGTGTGGGAAGGACGAAGGGGATGGTTTTTGGGGAAGGAGAGAGGGGATTTTCTTTCTTTTATTTTTATTTTTTATTTTAATATAAATTAATTTTTGTTAATTAAAAATTAAAAATTAGTAATTAATTAATTTTTTTATTCTAGTTGGTGAATGGGTGGGCCCTTCTCATGTCACGTCATCATTTAACAGCTAAATTAACAGAAATATTAACGAAGGTCTAACATTGCAATGAATTCATAAGTTAAGGTATGACATTGCAATGTTTAAAACATGAGCTATGAAATTGTAGTTCGACCA